ACGCGAATCTACTGCGGCGTCTGCGCCGAGACGCCGCCTTCGTGGCTGCGTTTCGCGCGTGCTGTGCGTGTTTCGGCGGCGCGGTGCGGCGCGTCCTCTCGCGCGTATCATCTCCGTGTAGTCGTGGCATCGTAGATAGAATCCGTGGGTAATTGATCGATGGAAATTGGTGGAAACTGTCGTGTGCACGGGAACATCGAAAGGGTGATTTGGCGAGATCGTTCGAGGGGTCCTTTGATGTATTGCGAGAAATATAACGAGGGATATCGAGAGGGAGAAAGCTACGGGCTCTTCGGCAAGAGTAGATCATAGTTTTATATAGACGATAGCCTGTATAAGGTCGAGCTTTGTTTTACGAGAAACGGGCTCTTTTGCGAGTGAGAGACAACGATTCCTGCCTGTCGATAACGATTCCTTGGTGGCCGCAGGTATTTCCTCGTTACGGGGTCACCTTTCTGTCTTTTTAAACGAGTCTGTATGTTTTTGCTCGGCGACTTGATAGATGAGTCCAAAGACCCATCGGCCACAGCTCCGCGATGGATATTAATAGTCAGAAAAACATTGGAATTCGTGTTTCACATTTAATGCGAATTTCTCCTCGGTTCTTTTCTCAGTGATAGCGTCGATGAAAGAAATGTAGCGAAGTCTCGAATTAAGCAAATAGCGGCATTGATAGACGTTGGAACGTGCCGATTTCCATGCAACGTTCTTCGTTCGTTGGATAAGGTCGGAGCACGGGTATGGATCATCGGCCGTGTATATCGTGCCTCGTGTTCGCATCGTCGATCGTTGCTAAACTTCTAGCCAACTCGAACTCGCCACTCCCAGATTTCTGTGATATACGTTTTCGCTCGAGCACGCGTTCTTCCTGCTTTCACCTGTCCTTTTGTCCATTTTATTCGCCTTTTCTTATCTCTCCGCTACTTTTTATTCGCGCATTCGCTAAAACCTCATGTCGGTGGTTCGGCAAGACGCGATGCTTTTCGTTCCTGAAATTGTCACCGCTGATAGATCGGCTTCGCATCTGGCGATTCTTGCACGGTAGGATTTCACGCTTGCGGCTGCGTTGTGGGAGAAAGAAAATCTCGGAAACGTCCGCTATAAATCAGGAAATAGGATACGGGAAGGATTTTGAAGGAAAGGTAAAGGCGAATAGTAGATCGCGAGCTATCGGCAAAACGTAGGAACGAGTTTGATCTAAAGTGCCAAATGGTGGTGACCACCTCGTCCTTTTATAAATTTGGACGAGCGACGCTCAACTTGGACTAGCACCTGGTTGCCGGTAAGTGGTCCGTACTACTTTTACGCTCAAGTCGATATATAATTCTTCGATAAGCTAAAGTAACGTAGTAAGCCCTTAAGGATTTTACGTGCTAACCTACTTGTAAGATGTGCAATAGTTATTATCGCCTCCTTAGTGTTAAAAGGATAATCGATAAATAATTAACGCTATGTGAGGCTGTATGTTCGAAAGTCTAGATACTCGCGAGTCCGACACATATAAAGAAAATGGTAAAATACGGCTGCGGCCCTGAGCGTCGCTGCATCAATTGGTAGCACCGCTGCATTAATTCACAGCTATATACTTCCTTTGGCCTCTTTCGTAGGACTTCGATCATATTCCCTCCATCGATCGTGCCAACTCGCAGAAATATCCATTGAGAATGAAAGCGACTGAAAAATTGAATAGAACCGAAAATAAAAGGCGCGCGATAGAAAGTAACGCCGAAGATCGCTGTAAGTCCGAATAACCGAATAAGAATTCGAAACGCGTAGTAGCGGCAAGACGTCGGTCTTAATAACTTTCGAGGCCGGATAACTCGCCGAAGAATCGAACTCTCATACCAGGACCCTATTCTTCCTTCGATTCCATCTGCAACCTCGAGATCGGACCGAGGGTGAGCTACGTACGATAGAACGACGCGACTCTTCCGTTCGGTTTTCATCGGACTGTTCCGCTTCGAACGCGACGGCACGCGATTATTCGTCGCTTTTGTTTCAATGTCATAAACGATCGAAACGAATCTCTCTAGTTTTCCAGTCGCGATATATCGTTCGAATACGTTTTAACCTGACGCAGCGTTACGTTCGAGGTTCGCCTATCCGGACAGAAAAAGAGAGCAAGATACTGGTGAAAAAAAAAAAAAAAAATTCTGGTCGTTAATAAACGACAAAAAGTAATTTTACCTTCGACCTTATCCTCCAGAGTGTGAAATATTCGATATTCGAGTTGAACGCTAATCCGAGTTCAGCCTTTTTTCCATCATTATCTTTAATATCGCTAAGGCCATATATTCTGCTGTCATAAAATAAAATATTTCCCTTCGATAATAAGAAAAAGCCTGGATGAAAGCGCAACCGTATTTCATTGTTCGTTCCATGGTCGCGAGAAGGAGTTGTTAAGACGCTGAAAGGCGTAACAGCGCCCATATTTTTCTCTCGTTATCACAACGGCTATTGTCTCGTTCGGAGATCTCGCTACTTGGTTTTTCGCTTCGCTTCGCTTCTTTTCCCGTACGACGTGGAAAAGACGACGAAAACGCGGTACGAAGCAACGGTGATGTTCGAGCGACGTTCGAGCGGTGTTGAGATCGGCCAGGCGTTTCCACGCTACGATAAACAGCACCTAAGAAACAACGACGTGGTTTGCTTCTGTTCGGTTTCATCGAAACGGGGAATCTGGTCGAAGCTATCGGAAACCCGACATCCAACTTTCTCGTTGTTATCGCAGCTGCCGTTGCCGCTTCCGTTATACGTACACACGCGTGTCCTGTCCGGTCAATAGTAATTCGCGTTTTGCATACGCCTACACGCGGTCGTCTACGCTCGAACCGTATAACTCGTCGACGTTGTTTCTTCCTTTCACTTCGATCGCCCGTTGTTTTCACGCTGTGGAACGCCTGACTTTTCCTCTTCGACGTGCATGCTCGCGCGCATAACTCGCACCCTCTTTACGTCGTGCCTCGATGAACATCGTGCTCCGGCTACCTCTGCCAACGATTAAACCGTTATTTCCACGAAATGTTGTTCTCGCGATTAACCTCTGGCTGCCTCCCTTCTCCGGATATGCCGATAAGCTGACGCGTAATCTTCATACACGACGTGTATATAAAGTCGATTTTTATATCGCAGAATATTACTCGTTCGTCGTGAAATTTATAGGCGACAAAACTTTTGTTCGAAACGTTGTGAAATCCTCTCTTTCGAAGTTCGTAGCTTTTAATTCGTATTCTACACGGTGAAAGGACTATGTGTCAACTGGGAACGACAAGCACGCGGTGGACGCGTTAAAGATGGGTTCTGCGAGGCGATAGATCTTTATTTAACCTTTCGTTGTACGCGGTTATTCGACGAGCGAACGTACGTAGAAGAATTTCAGATTTCACCGCAGACACGTTTCTTCGTTAGGGCTACCAGGTGTTCCATGGATCAGCCCTGCGCGTTGCTCCGGTTTGCCATCGTCGAATAAACGATAGCTTTTACCACTTTCGTATAAATTCTGTTTTCCTATTTCTCGTCGAATCTTACATCGACCTTCGAGGCATTGTCCGAGAAAATGTTGCAACTTTTGAAACGTGCTGTACATCGGTATAAAAGACGGCGTTGCACAGCAAGGACCCGAAGAAGGTTTCTATTTTAAAGAGGAGTCTGCGGCCGAGAAATTATTTACGGCGCGGCCCATTTATTTTTGCAGTTACGCCTCGAGTGGAACTCGGTGAAGGTGGCCGTTCCTCTGCCGTTCAATCAACCGGGATGGTTAATTTAGAATAGTCTCCGACTCGTGAGAAATGGGTTTTATCGAAATACCGTCCGAAAGGTACAGCCGCGCTTCGATAAAAATGCTTCGAGTCGGAATGCATCGGCGATCGGCCGTGTACGGAGCCGTGCCTTGACGGATATCCTCCGTCCGGAGCAAGATGTTTCGGTCGAATCGATCCGAAAACGAAGCCGTTTCTCGACGGCACGAAGAGAAATACCGTCTCTCAAGCGCCCTTCTACGTGTATTTCTTCCCGGCGATTTAAATCGTAAGCCTAGCAGCGGGCAAACGTACTTCCCAGTCGCTTTGTTTACAAAACGAAGATCGCACGGTGGAAAGCAAAAGAGTCCTTCGAGAGTCGCTTGAAAAAAAGGAAATTTGGTCTTGCAGCTTTGCTATTTAACGTGCAAGGAGAATTCACGGACGTACGTACGTCGAACGAAACGTTCTTTACAAAAAAAAAAAGAACTACTGTTATCTTTCCATTATCCAGAAAAGTTACTCTCAAAAGGGATATCGTAGCGTAAAAAATAAAAGCCGAGTTAAAATGCCGAATGGCAAACTTGCTCTTCCATCGGAGTAACTTAATATTCCACAACCGCAAACCCTACGACCTCAAAGTGAACCTGCCGTCTCTATAGTATTCTCCTTACAACGTCAAAGGTACAAGGGAAATCACGAAAAACTGTTTCAATCTTCCATCGACCGAAACTGTCGCGCGATCCCATTGAAACGATCTTTCGTCCGAGCGATCGTTCAAACTTGCCTTCGCGTTTCGAAGAACGATTCGAGCCTCGCGAATCGTAGACGAGCGTGGAACCGGCTGCGATCGAATCGGTGCCTGCACACAGGAGGTCTCTCTATCGTTACTCGAAAGCGTTAACGATCGTTGGCAAAGCCACGAGACGCGTTGCTATCCGATCGATCGAGAAACCAAGCGACCGTTCTCGTCGGCGCGACGGTCGGGATTGCGGCCGTCGAGCGTGTAACACAAAGGCGGCTACGAGTACGAGTCGCAGGATCGATAACGCCTTTAGAACGCTACCGGACATGTACGTGGAACGAGGCGTAGAACGCGATGACCAACGGCGTAGAGGCTGGCCGCGTGACCCTTCGACGCGAGCTACACCGGAGTCGCTACACCCCGTGCGGATAGAAGGCAGCGTAGAGGGAAAGACTCGCTTAGTGTTGGATCCGGCAGATCCAATACG